GCTTTGTTATGGCCGCACATTGGTATTCATCCAATTAGTGGACAATTAAAATATATATGTCGTCTGATTAGCAGATGAATAGACACTCTGATATATTATAGGCTGTATTTTTTTTGTGCGTTCAGCTATACAGGACTAGAAAGACCAGAATTACTACAAAGAAAGATCTATTGTGATCACTGCTACAAGGGCGGCACTGAAAATTTCGGGAATCAAGGAAGTGACACAACATTACTATTTAAAAATGTATTTATTGCTTTTCGAAGTATTCTTCGCGAAATTTGACACATTTTTCCATACAATGGAACCAATCATAAGGTCTCCAAAATGGCCGTTTTGTAGGCGTCCAGCTTACAGCTTCTTCAGGTGATGAAAATCTCTATCCACGCAATTTATTCTTTATTTTAGGGAAAGTATAGAAATCATTAGGGCTTAGGTCGGGGCTGTACGGCGGATGGTCTAATAATTCTATGTTTTCTTGCTCTAAAAACTCTTTCGTTCTATGTGCGGTGTGAGAACTTGCATTGTTGTGATGGAGGATGATGCGGCGGTTGCAGTTCTCTTTACGGAGTTCAGAAACGACCTGTGGCAAACAAATGCTAGCATACCATTCTGCATTAACCGTTCTTTGTCCCTCAAGAGGAATAGTCGTAACACGGCCGGTTTTGGAGACAAACGTGGCCACCATTTTTTTTGCAACACTCCGTGAACGAACAATTTTTGTTGGCTTTAACTCATTTTCGAACACCCAAACTCGTGACTGGTTTTTTGTTTCGGGTTCGTACGCATATATCCAGGATTCGTCACCTGATACGATGTTGTATACAGCATTTGAGGATCTTGCGTGGAATCTTTCGAGAGTTCTGACGCACCAAGTAAGCGAGCCGCTTTTTGCTCTTCACAGAGCGAACGCAGTATCCATCGGGAAAACAACTTTTTTACACCTAATTGTTCATGCAAGATTATTTGTATTTGACTCATGCCAATGTCTAAAGTTGCCTGAATTTCGCGGTATGTCACATGTCGCTCTTCCTCAATCAGCTTACGCACAGCATCAACCGTTTCTTGGGTGACTGCAGTTTTTGGACGACCTTGACGGGGATGATCACTGAGCTTGACACGTCCACATTGAAATTCAGCAAACCAGCGATAAATTGTGATTTTGGATGGAGCTTCATCACCAAATGCAGAAATCATCCGGTCAACACAGTGTTTTTGTGTTAAACCACTTCGAAAGTTAAATAAATCATCGCTCTTGAATTTTCTCGAGTCAATCCCATTTTCACAATGACTAAACAAGTTTGACAAAACCTTGTGACAAGACCGAGAATCTTTTTTTAAATAAATAAATGGTATTCGATTTTTAAAACCAAGGTGTTTTCAATTAAAAAGATTTTTTAATATGACAGGAACAGTGGAAATATTCCATTCCCGATACTTTTAGTGCAGCCTAGTATAGCTACAGTTCACTGCTAAGCCTTATGTCTTCAATGAATAGAAGAAGTTACTTAACTAAGCTGTGAGCAATTTCACATTTTCTAGACGAAGTACATAGTTTTCCAGACGAGTGTTACTTTTGTGCATCAAAGGTTCACAATCAGTTAGGATGTGCGGAGGCGTTTCTTCCGTTAAGGAAAAAAACCGGTACATCCTTGAGGTGCTTAGTCCTAGGATGGACATGGGCTTTCAAGATATCAGTGTCCAGTTAGGGCTCTTGTCAGAATGCGCAGTTTATTTTTACCTAGTCCCAGGGCTTCTGAAGCGAATTTACGATCAAAAGTTTGGATAAAGGTTTTAGAATGTTTTAGCCTGGTGTATCAGACCAGATCTTAAGTGATTTATTGTGGCAAAGTATTTCAAGGGTCAATCGTGTTAGTCTTTTTGATATTCCACAAAATGACTCGGGGCCAAATTGTGTCTACTCTTTGAGCCCTTCCATGTGAGCTTCACAGCAAGTACATTGCCTACAATAACTGCGTAACCCGGAACCCATCTTAAAACAACCTTGTTGTTACATCTTTTTACATGGTAGAGCTATGCTGCAGCTATATTGTGGTTGCAGAACGAATGGGTGGGCTCGACCGGGGTAAGACCACGCTCTCACTGAATACCAGCGTAAAATAGCAACTTAATGCTGCTGTGTTTCGTATGGTGAGTGTAGAGAATCGGAAATCCTTTTTACTGGAAGTAAGGCATTCCGTCTCAGTCCTCAGGGCTGGCGACGCATCTGCATTTTGATTCTTAATTGAAGATAAATGTAGATGTTTATGGGCAACAACATCCACTTACCATCAGGTGGACTGTGTGCTCGTTTGTCATCCTTATTCTATTTAAAAAAACAACCCAGGGTGTTTAGAAGGTTTACATAGTCTCCAACTAGCTTGGAGTAAGTAACTACTAAGTTTGATCTCAGCGGTAGCAGTGCTGCTTGACTATCAGAGCTTATTTAGATTATATGGTTGACGCAGTGTTTTTGCAGATTGGTTTCCGCACACTGAAGTATGGCGAAAATGTCTACCTGGAAGATAGAGGTGAACCTACCGAAATTCATTCTTAGTTTAAATTTGGGGGTTTCTCTATAAATTCCAAAGTCGATGCCCATTTTTGACCCATGGGTATATTAGACAAGGCTACCGACCTCATAGCCCATTTAACCAGTCTTCTGTGGAGGGTAGTTAAAGTATTACTTTTATTAGAAGTGGACGCATGATATCTGAGATTATGCATTAGACCAGTGTTTCGTTAATTAAGTCAAGCATGGATCTCAAACTATAGGAAAGCAAGCTCATACCGCCCTGGGCGTTAATCCTTTACAAACTAGCCCTCGCCTCCTTGTCTAAATAAAGATCAAGGGGCGTTAGACATAGAAGTGCATTAAGAGCCGCTCCAGGCGATGACCTCATTGCTCCAGTTGCCATTAAGCAGGCAGTCCTTTGTAGACTATTTAGTCTGTCTGCAGTCGACTTTTGGCTGGCCTTATTACACCAGACAATGAAGGCGTAGGTAATAATTGGCCTCACCATGCTGCTGTACAGTTATAGGATATACTGGGACGCAAGCCCTAATTGTTCCCAACCGCACAACTACACGTACCTAAAGCAATTTTAGCCTTATGACATATGTTGCTGAGAGTTCCACGTTAGTTTCCGATCGATTTTTATGTCCAAATACTTAACTTCAGTGGAGAATCGTACTTCTTTACCATTAAGTTTTGGTGTGACTAATAATATTCAACAGGTATTGGTATTTGGTAAAGGGTATTATAACAGAGAAAGTCATGAAGTAACTCACCCCTTTCATTGATGTTAGTGCTTCCCCAGGTGTGATGAGCATTAGCATCACAACCCACCACTAGTTCGGCTTTGTGTTTTCGGGCGAAACCGCCACTCACTCTAACTCGATGGCAGGATCGGAGTTTTCTTCGGAAAGATAGGCTGAGAAAATGATCATTCTTGCCCCTGTTCTGCGCTGTCCTGCGCATCCCTTGAGATTTATGAAGGCTGTAACTAGGTAGTCATTGCAGTACTTTGAAACAGCTAAATGTACAATGTTTTCATTGTAAATTATACAAGCTCTGGGTCTACTGCCTTTAGTATTGAGTAAGATCTTATCAGCAGCTGACAATCCCAAAACTTGTCTGCTAGCCACCGAAGACTTGTATGAGGGTGAGGTCAATGTTGTCCTTTGCAAAGCAAACCTCCACCACAGCAGAAGCAGACTTCTTCTGAAGAGACAGCTGCGCTGCGGGACAGATATGTGATACTGGGCTAAAGCCTAGGCAGTTCGCCATCAGGTATTATTGAGAGCTCTGCCTCCGGCCAGGTTTTCAGTTTTCCAACTTCACCCACAATCCAGTCATGGCTTGCCTTATTCAGACACGTTACCAGAATGCAACCTGGCCTGTGGGTGAAACCCGAAAATTTCTGTTCCTTCGTGGCTGCGCCCTACGGGCTGTCTTAGCGATAGCCTGTGTTAGTGCCCGGTGGACCAGCCGCATCTACTCCACGCTCAAAGAATTCGAATTGCGAATTCCTACATGCACGGAGCCAGCTACGGCACTAAAGCTGAGCTTCTTTTCCCCTGTTGCCAGCGTTACGGATTTCCTGGGCTGGTCTTTGGGAGACTCCTCCTCAGATCTACTGCGTTTTTCTGAACCGGGAGAGATTTGGGCAAAGGCATTTCGTCCCAGGTCTTCTGCATCTCAACTGCTATCAGCCTCCTGTACCTCTTCCGTGCTGCCCCACTAAGCTTGTAAGGCCTAACGAACTTTTTCATGTCCCTTCCCTGGTCCGTTTCCGATAGTAGTTCGGCTGCAGACGCGCCTTCTACTTCACGGCTCGTCCCGGGTTGGGGCGTTGTATTGTGCATTGCGTTGTTGGGTGTTGGTAAGGCTAAAAGAGACAGACAGATCTACAGACAGGGCCACGTTCAATTTAGTCCCACGATTAGCTATGGAAATATTCGGTCATCTTCGGCAGAGCCCCACATGCCGAGGAAAGGGCTAAAATACTACCCGATCACCCTGGTCTCTGGTAGGCACCGTTTGAGACTAGACCCTGCCAGCCACGCATCCATCGGCACGTTACGCTTAACACCTTGGATTGGGTTAGGATAGGAAAAAGGGGGTGGAGTAAAAAGAAAAGAAAAAAGGGATCATCTGAGTGTTTCTGTTCTGTCTGTTTCCTTTTGAACCAAACCAAATAGCAGGCGGCAACTACATGAAGGAAGAATTCCTCAGACTTGCCCTGGGGATCAACACAACCTACGCTCTCCCCCAGAGGGATTCGCCAAACTGCTCGCCGGACAGGAGAGCAGAATAGGTGTTAATCTAGTCCTACTGATAATGTAAAAAATGTAAAGAGTAGGTTAACCCCCGCCCGTATAAACTGTAACCTTTTAATTTTACTTTTATGTGTTATTTATATTGATAAAAAATTAGATTCTTTACTTCCATATTAATAAAACCTCAATATATTGTTATAATGAAATATCCATTTTAGGTGAGCACATGCGTATATTTGAATAAAAAAATTGAATATTGTGGAGGAGCAATCCGATGTCAAGTTTACGAAATGTGGTCTCAAGGCGACAGAGTTGCCTGTGGTGTCATCACTGAAGATACTAAAATCGTATTTAGGTCTTCAACTTCAATGGTCTACCTGTTCATTCAAATGTCTTCAGAAATGTGGGATTTTGACATTCATGGAGACTTATATTTTGAGAAGGCTGTGAATGGTTTTCTTGCTGATCTATTTGCCAAGTGGAAGGTATGGTAATATGTTTATGAAAATATAATAGTCATGGTTTACAGCTCTATTTACAAAAAGGGACAAAGACCTTTAAAATTATCTATCTATTTTGATTTGTAAAAAGATCAGGGAAGCAACCACTTACTATAGTGGACTGCTGTTTGTCACCCTATCCTATAAAAAAAAAAAGATTTCAGTATTACTGTAGTGTTCAAAAACTTTAACATAATGAGAGTTATTAATTTAAATCGATAGAATAACCAATTAGTCAAAATTGGTTTCTTCATATTTTGTTTCAGGGCTCTTTATTTTTTTCATTTTTAGTGCTTAAATACTATCCCACCTGATGGTAAGTGGTGATGATGCTTAATATGGTTAAGCACGCTTACTTATTTTAACTAAAGCTTATTCATTCTTGCCTTGAACATATTCACATTGTAATTTGATGGAAAGACAGACATTGCAAATTATTCTACTCCTTTGCTGCACACATTCCGAACTATAAGCTCAATACCTATGTGTTAGAGCCATGTTGCAGTTATATTGGTAGTATAGTTGTAGCACGAATGGGTCGGATTGACCGGGGAAGGACCATGCTCTCACAGAATACCAGCGTAAAACAGTAGCTTAATGCTGCTGTTTTTCGTATGGTGAGTGTAGAGAACCGGAGACACTTTTTACTGGAAACGAGGCATTCCATCTTAGTCCTCACGGGTGACAACGCATCTGTATTTTGATTCGTAATCGGGGATAGACGTCGATGTCTATGGGCCACAGCAACCACTTACCATCAGGTGGACTGTGTGCTCGTTTTATTACTCAAAACAACTGCTTCTTTGTATAAAAAATAAAATTCTTGCGAGTAATTACGACGCTTTACATTACGGCTTCTTTCCGTAGCTCTGCGTAGCTAGCTCGCGGCTTTCGCGAGCCAAAATCTACACGTTTTTGATGAGAAAAGCAAATTATTTAATGTAGTCTGTAGAGGTGATTTTCAGTAGATGCTTTGCATTCTGCAACTTTTAGTTAAAATAATTGTAATGATAAAAAAAATCGCCCGGCCGGCTTATAAACGAGAGCTTAGCCGCGGGCTAAAACTGGCATTTTGAAAAGATTATCTGCCACTTAAAAGGTGAGGATACATACGTCGATGGTTGTGAAGATTTTGTACGTAAAATGTAAAAGTATGCTTATGAAAGACATTTATGTTCTTTAGTTATTATTAATTTAACAAGACGCTTTACAGAAAAACGGAAGTAATCATGAGGTGACAATAGTATTGTTTTCTAGAACATTTTACAAAGCTAAATCTTTAGAAGAATTCCCACAGCACATGAAAGAATGCTTACAAAAAGACTACAGGGGTAGATATTATGAAGATTTCTACAGGTTGGTTCATTAAATACACAATGTTGTATAATAAAATTAAAATTGTATAACCTTAATATATATAAATTACGTGTCACGTTGCTTGTCCGCGATGGATTCCTAAACTACTTAACCGATTTTAATCCACCGTGTGCAGTTTGGTCCAACTTTAGAGATAGGATAGTTTTTGCCCATGAGTGACCAACAATTTTTTTTATGCGAATTTAAGGATTTTTAATAGGACATACAAATTGTCGTCGAAAATGGCAGAACAACGTCTGCCTGGCAAGCTAGTATTATATAAACTACCGTGTAGTTGCGGTGTAGGAATATCCACTACTCTATATCATCCCGTGGGTGTCGTAGAGGGAAACAAACCAGGAGATGGGCAGCAGCGTCTTCTTAATAAAGACTAAGAATATAATCTGGTTGCCAACCCGCTATGATGCAATCTATGGCGGAGGCCTATGTTCAGTAGTGGACTTTAATAAATTATATGACAAATAATCTTAATAAATATTAGTAGGTAAAACCTCCTTCTGCCGCCAAATAACAGTGCACTGCTGTGTTACGGTTTGAACGATATACAGAGCCAGTATTTTTACAGGCTGTGAGGCATTCCACCTTAGTCCCGAGAGATGCCAATGCATCTCTAGCCTTTTTGTTTGTAGTTGGTTGGAGATGCAGGCAGGCTACAGTAGCCACTTACCATCAGATGGGCTGTAAGTACGTTTGTCACTTCGACTTTATATTAAAAAAACGTGTGGCACTCGGGGACTGCCGCGGTAAAGCTATTGCATAGTGTTTTTTTTTTCAACTTATGTAATCATAATTATTTATTAATTTTATTTATGCAGTATTTTTTTTCTTTGTTTTTATCTTTGATACTAATCCGCCAAGTCGAGCAAAAAAGCGACACGGCCCTATAACTTCGTAGTCAATAAAACTAGAACCCTGCATTTTCAGTAACCAAGTAGGCATTGTATAAACATGGTATATTTAATAGTTTAGTAATTATAACTAGTCAAAGTTTCTTAATTTTGTCACTCACTGACTGACCGATCATCAAAACTCTAAGGCACTTCTAGCAGACATAGAAGCTTCAAATTTAGAATACAATTAGTGTTTAGTGTATAAATCAAGGAAAAACTAAAATATTTGTTAATTTTGGTCCAGTTTTCTAGATACATCAACTGCATAAATAACTGTAATCTCATATAAATATATAGAATTACAAAGTTACATTAGCAGTGAATAAATCAGTGTACTTGTATATGTATAACAGGTGTAGATAGGTACGTTGTTGGTATTCAAGAAGTAGAAGGTACCGGAAAGGTAAAGAAGTAGGACTATCTTATCTACAAAAAGAAATGAGATGCCATCAAAAACATAACTTATAAAAAAAAACAAGTCTCGCAACTCAGTTCTTCTACCGTAAAAAGTTGTGAGATCCATGTAATACCAAGTCGCACTAAGCAATCTAATTTAATATAATATGTATTACTTGTGAGATACATTGTGTTTTCTTGCGATGGCCAAGTCAATCTATATATTAAAACATAAAAGATTTTTAATTTTTCACTATAAAATGTTGTTAGGTTAGCTAATTACGTAATAACTTAAAACAGAAGGACCCTTAAGTAGGAACTGAATAAATTAACCGACTTGGTATTACATGGATCTCACAACTTTTTACGGTAGAATAACTGAGTTGCGAGACTTGGTTTTTTTACAAGTTATGTTTTTGATGGCATTCAAGTTTTTTCTTTGATATTAATTCAAGTTATACCTTTTGAGCGTGGTGACCGTTGTGTCTAAAAGAGATAGAATCAGTTAGGAGCAGTTAGCAGCAGTTAGCAGCTGGTCTACACGCATACGTCTAGTCGAACGCACACAAACACGACGACGTTAGACGATGCACGGCTAGGTTTATTTTCGTTACGGAATTTCTTGTTTCGGTCGCGACGCTCAAAGCCCGCGATAAAAGCTATGCAATAGCTTAAAAACGTATAATCCCTTTGTCTCACTTTTCCTGAAATTATTCTTAATTTTTAATACGGTGATTACTAATACGCATAACTGTTGGATAATTCAATATTGTCACAAGTTTAATATTCTCATCAATCCGTTATCATAAGCTCGAAGCTTGATATTTTCACCAATCCATTATCATAAGCTCGAAGTTGGATATTCTCATCAATCCATAAAACCATCCTCAACTGGCAAAGAGAGGATTATTTCCCACACACTTTCCATCTCTGGTCTGGGATCTGGCTATTTTAAGTCTGATGTGAATATGATATGATTATATCGTCATCTATCAGACATGGTTATTTAAAAAAATCGTTTAATTTTCCCTTATGAACCGTTCAGAGAAAATAAAACCTTTATAAACATAAATTATCTTTTGAAGTTATTGTAAGTAGACAAATAAATAGTTTTAAAAAAACAGTTTTAAAACGCACGTTCCCTGACAGACAAGATATAACTCTTTTGATAAATACGAAAAATGGAGTAACTCTTACCTATGCTGTGCATACAATGTATTAATGAAAATACATTACATACATTGGTAGCTGAAACTCGGTGAAATAAAAATACATTAAAAGAGTGTACGTTGGTGTTTCAATACAAACTGTATTACCAACATGCAAGGGAATTTAATGTGTCAGGTAATTTTGATAACTTAAGTTAAAATAATCTGCTAAGAAAAGTACCAATCCAACCTACTGCTGAACTGTTAATAATGTTGTGTTAACAAAATTTTAGGGTGGCTGTACAAAATGAAAGATATGACGACTGGTCAAACGTGCTGCTGCAGTTAAGAAGACTATTTACTGATTATCAGAAAATTGTTTTGCAATATCATGAGAGACCTAACATGGAGATACCAACCGCTATCAATTCTACGGCTGCACAAGGAAATTTTCTTGAAGTACTCAACATGAGTTTGAATGGTATAATATCTCATATAATTTCGGTAGGGAGTAGACTGTCGCCAAAGAGTTTTATAATTTTCAAATTTTAACACAGTTTGCATAATACACAAACAGAAAATTTAATAAATTACGATTGAATTTCGCAAGACGACCACTAATTTTGAAAATAGCTTCGTTATCGTCGTTATTATTACAGTCCTTCACGTGTCCACTGCCGAACACAGACCTCCCGCAAGGAATGCCAGAAAACACGGTGCTACGCCACCTACATTAATCGATTTTCATCAGAAATGTCTTACTAGGTCGTCACTCCATCTAGTGGCGGGCTGTTCTACACTTCGTTTAGACACACAACCTTTTTCCCTTATCGGAAAACTATTAACCCTTCAATCCCCATAAAATTCCCATGCAGTCGCATGTGCTTGGCAAATCCCGAGCGTTCGCATGCGACCGCACCCATCCACAGCACTTAAAACCATTAAAACTTATATTTAAAGACTACTTTTCTATGAAGAAGTTTGGCATTATAAAATCTATACATATATTTCTCTATCATGTGTTCTAAACAAAAGTCGGGTTTTACTTCATTACAAAAAGATTTTATTGTATTTTGATAACAAAAAATATATATACCAAGAGGATGTCGGCAGCGTGAAAATCACAATTATTATATACACTATATATTACTCGAAATTATTTACGTAAAAAAATAAATTATATTTACGCAAAAACTTTTATAAAAATTTTATGAAATAAAACACTAGAAAAATCCAAAAATAAACCCAAGAACATCCAAATGAAAATGGCGTATGTAATGAACGCAGAATATAAATTAATATCCATAGACTAATTGTTTTTTTATTCCACTAGAGGATAGAAAATTTCATATTGATTCTATATAGTGCCAAACTTCTTAATAGAAAAGTAGTCTCTAAGCATAAGTTTTTATGGGTTAAAGTGCTGTGGGTGGGTGCGGTCATATTTGACCGCTTGAATTTTGACGGAATATCGAAGCGGTCAAATTTGGCCGCTTGGTGTTTGAGAGGTTAAATCTTATGTAGTTACTATACTTTTTTCTCATTTAACATTTGTCATTTTCAGTCTTTGAAAAACATTACTTAGACAGATGCTTTGATAGAACCGGACAGTTGAGTGTCGTGATCACACCTGGGGTAGGGGTGTTTGAAGTGGACAGGGAATTGACAAATGTGACAAAACAAAGAATAATTGATAATGGTGTTGGCAGCGATTTAGTTTGCGTGGGAGAGCAACCCTTACATGCTGTGCCTTTATTAAAATTTCATAACAAAGACAGCAACCTCAACTCGATTGATGATTATTCTATGCCTCATTGGATCAATTTGTCATTTTATTCAACAAATAAAAAGGTGGCATATTCGAACTTCATACCGAGAATAAAGTTGCCACCGAGGAAAAGTCAAGAGCCTTTGAAAAAAATGTATGAGGACGAAACTAAGGGAAAGCTGTTAAAAGAAGATGAATATATGCACAATTCTATTTTCGATTACGACGCATATGATGCACAAGTGTTTCAGTTACCTCCGGCACATAGCACATGGTGAGTTTAGTGTTTCAACTAGCTTTTGATAAATTATTTATTTTTATAAAGATTAAGACCGTATAGTGGCGCCTAATTTACAGCACGATATACAACTAGCCTATGTAAGATTATTTCTTTTTATTGTAGAATTTCTGTGTTCGCTACTGGTTCATATGTATTCTCATCGGGCGTCTAGTGTTATCCTTATGCGTCGTTCACGCGCCGAGCTGATCGTTGAGTTTATTTTAATTATTCATTATCTCCTATTATTATCTCGTCCAAATAACATGTTGTTAAGAGCAAACTTTATCTTTATAAAGGTGTCTTGATGATGAAGGAACTTTTAATTTTTATTTTCATAAATTTATATATTTAATTTGCAACAATTTTTGTTACAAAATACCTTATTGTGGCACACAATCTGCCTTATTAATAAAAATTGCTTATTCCAAGCTTAATTCGAAGTTACTCTTGGACTATCTAATCTCAGAGTAACTGACTATTTACTTCGTTATTACAATGTTATTAATAGGCATGGAGTAACCTCGGACTAACTATACATTCCTTACGCCGGGATTAAGGCTTGCGCTATGGCAACCCACTTATTTTAAAAGTAAAAAGAGTGAGTCAGTGAATGATTAGTGAATGAATTCAATGCTTGATGATGACATTAATGACAGTGACAGGCAATATTTTGAGTTTGACAAGAGATAAATGTTACGGGTTGTTTCTTGTTCCTCGTGTTGTTTTCGGAATCGGTGGAAAAACTAAGTTCTAAATATAATCATTTTTAATATTATTTGTAACGAAATTTTAGAATTAAGAACAGAGCGTGAAGGGAAAAATTAATTAAATAATCATTTTTGTTTTGTTTTTTGGGGATAAATAAAATCTTTTGTACATGTAATTATTGTATATTTATTTAAAAAATCGTTAATAAATGCTGCCCGAACAGAATTTCCTCTAACGGAGTTATTTACTAATTGTGTGACTGATATATTTTCAATATCTCCTTATACTACATCCTCAAGCAGATCTTGCTTTTGCATTGCAATGTATATATTGTTTTGTATGCTCTTATTTAGTATTTAGTCCTCGCAGTAAACACCGAAACCTTTGCTTCCCTCCAAAGCATTTTTCTACAGTGTAACGGGGCCACCAGATGTGCGACCGGTTGTACATTCTTCTTTTTGTTTATTAGGACGCAGGATAGGAGTGTATAAATAAGAAGTACAAGCGTAACCAGAATCTCGGAGAAGTCTGCCTTTAAATTCTGACTGCTCAAACATTTGTTTTAATACGACGATAATTAAATATTCTTGAGTCATGTGTGCTGCCTTGCCAATGAGCCACTGTATCCATGAACTCTAAACACAACCTGGAACAAAGCACTCATAACTTCTTTAATATGAAGTAATAGATTGAGGAAGTCATTGTATTGAATCTGAGAAAATAACTAAGTACCTATATGGCAGAGATGGGCTAGCTAGGTGCTATAAAACTTACTTGTACATTTATTGAACTGTATCCTTTCCTGTTTATGTAGTATTGTCCGATGTTTCCAGCGACTTTCGGGATTAGAATATGTAGCAATCAATAGCCCCAATAACTTCAAATCCAGATAATGAATAAAAACCTGCAATCACTTTGTTCTGCTCCACATCACTTCTTGGCATTTTAATCCATTATGCTGTTTTTGTTACTAGTGCTTACAACTTATGAATTTAACACGGGTAACAACGCGCGTAAACGTAAAGTTTAACAAAATGTCAAAATACGCGACTAGTCTATACTTACTCAGTCGTTAAACTAGGTACCGCCAAGGATTAACTTTTATTCCGAGAGTAGATCCGGATTAGTTTACTCCCTCCCTTACTCTATGTTTATTAATACTGAAATTAGATATTTTAAGCTTTAAACTAGGAGTAAAGGTAATCTTACTCAAGTCTGTGTTTATTAATAGGGCTGAATAAGTTTAAGAAATAGGCATATCGTATGGGGGATTTTTTAATGATGTAATGATCTATATTTTTGTAGAAGATTGTATATGTACGGAGGGCTTTTTTTTCTGACTTACTTAACAAAAATAAATATTTAAGGCTAGCTGGTAGCGAGGAGTAGCTAATGCTAGATAACCTATACTATTCCTCATGAAAAACAAAAAAAAGATTTCAAATCTGACTGGTAGTTCCAGATATAAGCGTTTTTTTAGTATAATGTGTCAAACGAGCACCTCAGTCCAACTGATGGTAAGTGATGCTATGGCCCATAGAGATCTACATTTATCCTCAATTAGGAATCAAAATGCAGATGCGTTGTCACCCGTGAGGACTAAGATAGAATACCTAGTTTTCAGTAAAAAGGGTCTCCGGTTCTCTACACTCACCATACGAAACACAGTAGCATTAAGCTGCTCTTTTACGCTCTTATTCTAAGCAAATAAAAAAACAAGCAAAAACTCTTCCACTTTATTAAATTCGTATAGTATAGATAAAATGGTTGAATACAGCTGAGAATAATTTATATTTTAGTGTTCAAAGGGTTCCTCGCACAAAGAAAACTTCTGTTGCTGGTTTAGAAGGGATTAGTCGGAAGAGCCCGCCCGCTTCAGTTGTATACCATAGAAAAATGTCAGACCCAGATATCCATCATAGCCTCGCTGATATGCTGACTGGTGGAAGTAAGTGTGGTTTTTACACTGTTGAAAATCTTAACTTTGTAATTATTCCACTTAATTAATTTAAACAGGGTTATTTTTAAAGAGTATCCAAATTTTATATATAAGTTTAAATGTATAAATAATGATGCACTGTTATTGCAGTTTTTGAAAATACGAGTAAATAAGGCTACTACTTTTATTGGAAATTATCCCAAATTGAATGTGATTTATGGGCAACAACTACGTGAATGCGATGCTCTGTGTGCGAATCAATTCGCAACGTTTTTACCGACCGAGCTAACCTTACGAATATGTGCGTAGTAAAATAGTAAGCGTTAGATATTTAATAATGACAATCAGTTAATATACCACGCATTCTGAATTTAAAAGATAAAAAAGACAAAACATTGTAGTTATTTTTAAATTAATTTTTCTTCATCATGCGCTTATATAACTTATTCTGAACCTTCTCTGCAAATTTGGACGTCTATTGAAAAATAAACCTGTGTACTTTTTAAACTTCTCACACATGTTTTGCCACTGAGCAGCAGTGTATACTGTTGTGTTTCAGTTGAGGAGGTAGTTGATTAAATGCTTACTTGCAGTGGTTCTCACTTGATCAAATTTTATCTTCATTTAGATAGGATTTACACATGTACCTTATAAACTGACCGGTTTCGCCTTACGGAATCATCAGTGTAGCTACATGTACTCCTTCTCATTACAAAAAGTAATTTAGCCTCAGGCTTAAAGTCAGTTTCAATTTTATTGTAGAAAGCCCGTGGAAAATATGCGAATCACAATGTAAAGTATAAAATTTGATAACTTTCAAAACTAGCTGTGACAAATCTGGCGAAAATTGCTGGCTACTGCCGACAGAATCGAGTTCTGAATCATTCAATTTTTATTCGAAGTGAATGTAATTTCGAACACCGAAAACCGCAACTGGCGCACAATCGAGTAGTGGTTCAAATTGAAATTATTAGAACGGATGTCTTCAACTGCCAGCCGCTAGATGGCGCTCGTAATAGCGAGCAATGAAAATGGTTTTATGTTTTGTAATATAGGAAAAGGTGTCAATGAAGGAGACGTGTGGTTGGTACTAAAACTTTAATTAGACTGCTTCATTATTCTACCTTAACACTAAAGTATATTAACGTGGGAGCACTACACTACACCTTCCACCGACAAAGGATAAAAAAATTATGCTATCTATATTTTTTTATCAATTTTTAAATTCGATCCTTAAGATTATTCTAAAAAAGGTTAATATCATTATGAAAACTATAATCTAAGACATATCTAGCACGCAAAAATGCATAGTCACAGTAGTATAACTGACATAATCAGGCATAATTATGTATAATATAAAATTATGTTTTGATTTTCACGAAAATTTACAATATTATTTATTCGTATCCTGCTATTCATTACACATGTATGTCATTTCTTTGACGTACACGGCTCGCGTATATACATGATCAAGAAAATTACCAATATCATTTAAATCACATTTTACATTTCAGCTCATGTAATTCATTATTTAATTGTACCATAACATTCACGTACACGGCTCGCGTACATACATGATCAAGATAGTGGACAATATTCCTATACAATACATAATAAATTATCATTTCCCTCATTAAAACACATTAACACTTATTCCGCATTTAATCGTGTCCGAACAACCTTAAAAAATTAATCGGCTATTAGGTTTTCCAAACTCTCAGCTGATCAGGCTGATTGTATGTGGATATATACTAACCTCCGATAATTTTCTTTATCTTACTCTCGCAACTATACATTATCGATATTTTCATTTATAATTATGTATTCCGTAACTTAACCATACATTTAATCACATCTTTTACTTTATATCATAAAATAATCTCGTATAATATTTAGTTACAGTGTCAGTCAGGGATTGAGGTTCACAATATGGGAACAACAAACTTTGAATCAATTAGTTGTGTAAAACATTATATATGTAGTGAGTTTCAAAATTGTATTATCCGAAGAAAATACTTTCATAATCTACTCAAATTAGTACTGTTTTCCAAGAAAATAATAAATTATAATAGTTAAAAGCTTATAATTTAAATATTCAAACAATATAAAACCGAAAATAAATTATTACATTTCACATTAAGATAAACAGAACAAAGAAGTCAATGTTAAGCAACGTAATCATTATAATTAATATAGCAACACACAGATCAAAATACAAATTGTAATCCTAACACCGCAAATATTTGGAGACAAGTTTGTTTTAAATTCCAAAGTACGTATAAGGCATCGTTTGTAATTACATCGGACTAGGATGACACGGTGTGATTCACGCCTAATTTTAAGATAACTTTTACAATATTTTATAATATGAATGCAAGTAAAATGTACCTTAAAAGGATATTTTTAAACATTTCCTTAATTTACACAGAAGCTTAGAAATAGTTACATTGTTAATATTTATGTTACTTTTACATACATCACAAAATGCATTAGCTTTTTTTAAAAAAATACTTTTGCAATAAAAAAAATTGCTTTTTTAAAAAAATCACTATAACAGCTATAAACTTCACACAACGATAGATTAATTTATTTAAACATTATAAAGAACAATTTTTAATATTTTAGGTAGGTTATTATATAAATTAATGATTTAATGCCTTTAGAAAAGAAAAAGATTCTAAAATTTATAATGACTTATAACTTATAAAAATTTTCAAAATTTAAATTCAAGGAAAGAAAACAACGAAATGTATCAATGATATTAACTATAAACTGTGGAGAAATCAAGTATGAAAAAATGTAACTTAATATTTTGTATTAATGTAATTAATTATTTCCTTCTTTTTTGTCAGGATAAAGTAATAAAATAACATAAAACTATAAATGAATAAAAGTAAATGTGAAATTGTCAAGCCACATAAGTGCTTAAAATGTAATTTAATTTTTAATACTGTATTATGATTGTATTTTTAAATAATAAAACAAATGTTGAATAATCATTTATATCACAATTATCCGGTAAATAATTTCTACTTAGTCATATGTTAAATACAGAATATTTTATATTTAACTTTAAATAAACATAATAGCAAAAAGAATATAAAAATAATCTCAAATTGATAAATAAACTTTTAAATGGAATTAAAAATCACGCAAATGCGAAGTTACCTCTCAAATCTTCATTCTTTTCAACACAATTTTTACATCCTTCTGGGTGATGCTCTTTAGAATACAACTGCTGCTTTCCCTTTACAAATGTGCCAGTTAAATTTTCAGTTTTAATTTTCAGTCAGCTTTCAAAAAAATTATTATTGTGGCCTCTTTTGGTATTCATATTTATTTGTTATCGACATATCCGGTACTGCGTCCATTCCGTTATAATTTTTTTGTGCCTTCATTATTTAATTAAGTAATTTTTTTTCTTCCCACCTTTTAACTAGGCCCGGCGGTGCGCATGCATTGTTGCAGCGCACCGCCTGGCAGGGTCGCCATGTAATATAGGAAAGGTGTCAATGAAGGAGACGTGTGGTTGGTACTAAAACTTTAATTAGACTGCTTCATTATTCTACCTTAACACTAAAGTATATTAACGTGGGAGCACTACACTACAGTGTTATGCTTGATATGTTTGCCCGATTCGAATAGGTTCGAAAAGTTGGTTCGAAAAAACATTAGCTTGAATCGAAAATCGAATGAAATTCGAAATCTATTTCGGGAATAACCTGCTGTTGAGCCCCGACTTGACTTTTTCGTGACAAAGATTTAGACCCGAGATTATCAATAATCATGTTTTGTAATAATACCAAATAAGTATTTTTTATTGGTAAATTATTAAAAGAAGTGAAATAAGGGCTAACGTGTATAAATCCTATATAAATTTAATTAATAAGGTTTTAATTTGTATATTAACGTTTCACATAACAGCCTGTGCGCGAATAATCATAACGTTCGTTTTAGAAAACTAATTTCTTCATAATTTTCAGACCGCTAGCCTTATCGTTATACTTTCTGGTGATCACGGTACCTACCAGACCATCTTTGACGCTGCTTCTCACCACTGGTCTATTTAATATCTATAATTAGCCAAATGGTGTTTACAGAAATGTAACAAATTATTTTGAATAGTAGAATGATCTAACCTTGTGCTAATGGCGTTAGAAATTATATCAGTCCATTATCCACATATGAATCGTGAAAAACTAAGAAAAGCTTGTGATAATTGTTGGTATAACCATTTAGTTTACGAAAAACCCTTCTTATAACAGGATAGGCTCATGTACTGGTGGTGGAAATTGCGAACAGATGAAGTAGACAAAATATAATATCACAGAATATAAAATAGAACTACGCAATAATACCTCCTAGATAAATGTAACTACTCCTCATATATTGTGATATCAGATTTAAATATGACTAAAAAATTAATAATTTTACTGTATTTTTGTTGTTACTGAAGTTTTTTCACTTTAAGGTAAATATGGCGTAAATGAGTCTAGCAGTGACACGACCGATTCTCCTACATCCATCAATCGTCTGTCTCCAAGAAGTTCAATCTCATCAAATAAACCCGTTATCCGAACTGGAAGGGCTCTTATCAATCCGTTTGATCCTTCACATGTGAAAGTGAAACTTACAAGTAACCGAAGGCGGTGGACGCATATCTTTCCAAAAGGTGAGACATTATAGTTTTCATATAATTTTACTTTTAATTTGTGCGATAGCTTAGGATGTTACAGGGGATGCGATTTTACCTTCAAAGTTCTAAAATAATAACAGAGACTTATTTTTTGTCTTTGTTTAATACATATTAGGATTATTTTTTGTAACGTGTGATTGCGGCTTAAATGATTCCATCAACCTATTTGGTTCCTTGGGGCCTCCTTCCTTCGTCCTAGTCAGAGGAAGCACCGCATTATGAGTAGTAGGGGGTATGGTTAGCGAGGGGAGCCATATATATATATATATATATATATATATATATATATATATATATATATATATATATATATATATATATACTACGCGTTCAGTTCATTTCAAGTTTGTCGTCGTCAACCGTTATGATATCACAGCTGACGGTACCGTCAAAACAAAAAAGCAGATAGACAAAAAAGCTATACCTTGAAATGAGCAATTCTTGATATATATATATATATATATATATATATATATATATATATATATATATATATATATATATATATATATATATATATATATATATATAATCGGAATCTAAGAAACGGCTCCAACGATTTTCATAAAATTTAGTGTCCTTTTGTCCGTGTTTTCAGGCATAAAAAAAACTGCTACAATATAAGAAGGTAAATTTTAATAGATCACTAACGATCGTAATAGCTCAGGTGGGATGTCGGTCGGGCGTGATATCGTAGTTCCGTGGTTCGCGTCCTGTCAGTGGTCCAGCTTTTTTACCTTTTTTTTTTTTCAAGTTCCCTTCTTTTGTGAGAAAATATATTATTTCAAGCCCTTTTTTAGTATTTTTTAAAAATACGAAAATTTTAATAAAACTAATTGCAAACTAATTGATTTTTTATTCAAGTAATCAGTTCAGTTTTTTCTATTCTGTCAATAAGATCAAAAAATATTATTTAAGTTTCATCAGTACGTAATTTATAAATGTAATTTCAAAAAAAAAAATCGAGCAAGGCTCGGTCATCCGGGTACTTTATCTATAATATCACATAAACATGATGACTATTTTTTGTCGAATTGAGCGAAACTAAGTAAGTAGTTTGTTATTCTGTACACAGAAATTGAGAGCAAACAAGTAGATAAAATGCATATTATAAAATAATTTATTTGGTAAAGTGAAATAGTAGTAAAAGTTGAAAAACATGAAAGCAGGTAAGGCTGCCGGATATGATAGAGTTTCACTCGAAATGCTAAGGGCTGGAGAGGAAGTCGTGGCAGGCCTGCTGCACACCTTGTTTAATTTATGCTGGGAACTGAAGCGGGTACTGGTAGACTGGTGCAAAGCCGTGATAGTCCCAGTATATAAAGGAAAAGGGTCGCAGCAGGACTGTAAAAACTACCGTGGCATCAGCCTTCTTAGCATTGTGGGAAAACTGTATGCTAAGGTACTGATTGAAAGGGTCATGAAAGAAACTGATGAAAAAATTTGGGATGTGCAAGCGGGATTCAGAAAGGGAATGGGATGTACAGATCAAGTCTTTTCAATGCGCATGATCGCGGAGAAGTTTTTGGCCAAAAACCAAAAGGTTTTTTGTGCGTTCATGGACTTGGAAAAGGCCTATGACAGAGTGGATAGGGATGTGCTATGGCAAACACTGAACTCATTTGGGTTGAGCGCTGGCTTGATACAGGCATTGGAGTCTCTTTATAGGGACTCTAGTGCTTGTGGTAGGATCAACGAGGTCTACTCGGACTGGTTTGACATCCATAAAGGTGTCAGACAGGGATGTGTGGCTTCCCCGTGGCTGTTCAACCTATTTATGGACAGTTGTTTGCAAAATTTGAAAGTTGAAGAATGCGGATTAAGAATGGGTGAGTTAACCGTCAAATGCCTTTTGTACGCCGATGATCAAGTTATCCTTGCGTCGTCGGCGGCCGAGTTGCAAATGATGGTTACATTAATGAACGGATCATTAAAAGAAAGGGGTATGAAAGTGAACGCAAGTAAGTATAAGTAAGATATGATAAGGATAGAGAACGACGAGTGAATGCGGGAAATAGAGTAAATGGGGCCCTGCACTCTATTGTGAAGAGTCAAAATGTGTCAAAAAAGGCACGTATGGCAATTCACAATGCTGTGTTGGTCCCTACTTTAACGTATGGTAGTGAAAGTTGGGTGTGGCAGAAGAAGCACGAGAGTAGAATCAACGCAGTAGAAATGCGGTCCTTAAGGAGTATGTTAGGGCTGAATCTGAACGACAGGGTAATAAATTATGTAATAAGAGAAGAGTGTGGTTTGCAAGATGATGTTGTGACCAGGATTAAGAAAGGAATGCTTCGGTGGTTTGGTCATGTGGAAAGAATGAATGAGGAAAGAGTGACAAAGAAAATTTATGTTGCAGAAGTGAATGGCAGAGTCGGAAAGGGACGTCCTAGGCGAAAATTTATCGACCAAATTGGCGATTTATTGCAAACGGGCCAAATTAGGAGTACCCTTAACGTACGAGCATGTATGCGTAGGTGTATGGATGTGAAGGAGGCGAGAGAGGTGTGTCAGCATCGTGCCAAATGGAAGTCTGTAGTCTCTGCCTACCCCTCTGGGTGACAGGCGTGAGTGTTTATGTATGTATGTTTATGTTTTTGAAGTGAAATAATAACAGTGAATGGGAACGTGTCCGATACAAATATAAAATATTATATTAATTTTAATATAATATTGTCACGGGGGACTATGGGTGCTGGAAAGCACCCGAAACGTCGGGTATTAAAATTAATATAAATAAAACGCGATAAAATCCGTAAATGTAGTTTTAATCAATGTATAGTGTTCGCGTAAATATAAGAAATCATTATGTAAACCAGTACGGACTGGAAATAGTAAATAACATACAGTCCCCCGTGACCATGGGTGCTGGAAAGCACCCGAAACGTCGGGTATTAAAATTAATATAAATAAAACGCGATAAAACCCGTAAAAGTAGTTTTAGTCAATGTATAGTATTCGCGTAAATATAAGAAATCATTATAAAATATTATAATTATTTTTTTTTAGTTTTATTTTACATTTAAAATATATCAAATACGTAAAATATTACGAAGGCGCTGCTATCGGTCCTAACAGGGCGACACGAGGCGCGGAGTGGGGGGGGCGCGGCGGGAGGTAACGGCATTCTTGGAATGAACAAGTAGTATATATATATACGCTTTCACAAAATAAAATTAAACAAAGCATTCTTCATTATCATTATAGCCCTTCACCAGTCCATTGCAACATAGGCCTCTTCTAACGAATGCCACAAAGCCTTACATCGCTTACCATCGTCACTACAATATAGTAGGTAGCCGCCCTACACTTCGATTAATATCGTCGGTCAATTGCCACTTCAGCTTACCAATCAATATGGCTATGTTGGTCACAGTGGTTCTGCTGCGGATTTACATTAATCAAAATAAATGTCCTTGAAAAAACTAAGTATTTCAATGTTCGCCATAAAATGATAGCAAATGACAATCACTAAGGTTTATACTTGAGCTATCGAGAATACATTTTTTTAAAGATACAACGTAATAATAGTTCTTTACCTATGAATTAGCCGTTCTGTAGTACTGGCCATTTCAAATCAAAGTGATTTTTCATTGACTAAGAATTCTAATTTTAAATTAATTTTATTTTAAGAACATGGAATTCTTCTTTCAAAGTTGTTCATTTATTTATTTATTAGCGTTGTTTTCATCACATTTGAATCTTTTTCCTCATCATGGATATGTAGAATTCGAGTAATTATGGATAAGTACCGTCGTGGCAGCAACGCGGCACAAGCGGCACGCAACAACTATTACGTTTACGGAGCGTTTGCCCGCTTCCGTTCTGGAAATTTCGACCTGAAAAATGAACCCCGTGGTCGTCCGTAAACTTTGGTCGACAATGACGAATTGAAGGCGATTGTGGACGCTGATGATCTCAATATACGGCTGAATTAGCAGCAGCTTTCGACGTTAGCATCAAAACAATATTGATTCATTTACATCAAATCGGCAAGGTAAAAAGCTTGAGAAATTCATGCCCCCCGAACTCAATGATCGCCAGCGTGAAGTATGCATCGTGACGTGCGCCTCGGACTGCTTTACTGGCACACAAAGGAAGGAATTTTAAACGGCATTGTTACCTGCGACGAAAAATGGATTCTGTTTGACAATTGCAAGCACTCAGCAAGTTGGTTGGATCCTGGTTCAGTACCTAAGCAAAGCCCTAAACGAAAATTTACTCCTAGAAAAATGTTGGTCACTGTTTGGTGGTCTAGCGCCAGTGTGATTCATCACAGCTTCTTACCAAACTGGATGAGCATTACTGCAGATGTGTACTGTGAAAAACTGAACACAACGATGGAGAAGCACGCATGTCTCCAACCAGCTTTGGTCAATCGCTCGTACTCCTCCTGCACGACAACTCGCGACCTCATACTGCACAATAGGTGGTCTCTGTTGAAAGCTCTTCGTCATTCGCTGTACTCACCAGTCCTTGTGCCTACAGACTTCTACTTTTCCAGAACTTCTACTTTATAACGTGGTAGAGCCATGCTGCAATTATATTAGTAGTATAGTTGTAGCACGAATGGGTCGGCTCGACCGGGGAAGGACCACGCTCTCACAGAATACCAGCGTGAAATAGTAGCTTAATGCTGCTGTATTTCGTATGGTGAGTGTAGAGAACCGGAGACCCTTTTTACTGGAAATGAGGCATTCCATCTCGGTCCTCACGGGTGACAACGCATCTGCATTTTGATTTGTAATGGAAGATAGATGTAGATGTCTATGGGCCGCAGCAACCACTTACCATCAGGTGGACTGTGTGCTCGTTTGTCACCCTATCCTATAAAAAAAAAAAAAAAAAAAAAAAAAAAAAACTTAGATAACTTTTTAGCGGGATAAAAGTTCAATGCCCGAGGCAGTACAAAATGCCTTTGAAGAATTGGTTGCCTCTCTTCCAGCTGATTTCTTCAAAATGGGAATAAAATGATAGTGCTTTTGCAAAGATGTATCGATTGCATTAGTGATTACTTTGATTAATAGAAATAAAAATATAGAAAAGAAATACGTTAACTTATTCCATAAAAAACGGCAATTTCATAGGTAAAGACCTCATTTGCATATATTTGGGTAGTTAATATAATGTACGTCACATGTGCCACAGTCGTATGTGTTTATCACAGCTTTACTTTTTACACTAAATTATCTGCACAGGCACAGGCCTCAATCCAAACCATAATTTGATTTTTTTTTGGGATGAATGTCAATATCCTGGTCAGGACCATTATATCCCAGTTTGTTACTATTACAAAAAAAAATAAAGCTCACTATGGAGTAATTGTTTTTTTTCTATTCATGGTAGGTCCAAAAGGTGTTCTTATCCAACAACATCATTATCAAGCTAGACCGGCTGGTGAACCTGCGTCGAGGAACGAGGACAACCGCTGCGAAAATAACATTGCAAAAGAAAATGGTTTATCTATCATGAACAACAACCATTCGGTATATCAAGTTGATGGTAAGTAAATTTCATAATAGGTCGGGGGAAAAGATTTTTCGTATTTTTTTTAAATATTAAACTGTTTGTAACTGGCTGGTTTTAATATCAATATATATATATATATATATATATATATATATATATATATATATATATATATATATATATATAGGACAGGCATTAAGAAAAATAAAAATAAAGAGTAACAAAACACTTACCCGCCATTTTTCAATTATTTTTATGTTTGCTAAAATGAGTGAATCTAACGAAGAAATTCGATACATTCTAAAGTTTTATTACAAAAAAAAGTAAAAACGTGACTAAAGCCGCGAAAAAGATTTGTGACTTTTATGGACCTAATGCAGTGTTAGTAAGAGTAACACAAAGTTGGTTCAAGCATTTTAAGTCCGAGAATTTTTATGTCAAAGATGCAACTCGCTCTGGTTGCTCTCATACGGATAAAGTCGATGCCGTTTTTGAAAAAGTGGAGCAAGATCGGCGGCATATTAGTAGTTACGACATAGCCAAAGAATTGCGGATTGACCACAAAACATTTTTGACCCATTTGAAAAAGGCTGCTAAAGATTGATCACTGGCGATGAAAAGTGGATCGCCTACGACAAGAAAGTGCGAAAGAGATCGTGGTCAAAGGATAGTCAAGCTCCACAGACTGTAGCGAACCCCGGATTAACCCGCTAAGGTGATGCTGTGTGTATGGTGGGATGGAAAGGGTATCGTTTCTTATGAGCTTTTACTGCCGGGCAAAACCATCGAGTCAGATCTCTATTGCCAACAACTAATTAGACTCAAGCAAGAAATTGAGAAAAAGATGCCGGGATTGATCAACAGAAAAGGAGTGATCTTTCACCATGATAACGCCAGACCACACACATCTTTGGCCACTCAACAAACATTGAGAAAGCTTGGTTGAGAAGTGTCAATGCATCCACCATATAGTCCTGACCTTGAACCCTCAGATATTCACCTGTTTCGGTCTCTTCAGAATTCTTTAGTTAGTGTTAGGTTAACATAAGAGAGTACTGTCAATACTACTTGTCGCATTTTTAAAAAAATCATAAACCCCAAGATTTCTACAGCAACGGGATTATGTCACTATCTACAAGATGGCAACAAGTTATTTAACAAAATGGCACATATTTATTATAATTAAATGTTATTAAACTTTGAAAATAAAAAAGTCTTGAATTTGTATATCAAACACGAAGAAACTTTTTCCCCGACCTTATAATATGAGTCAGTGATATAGTTAACAGATCAGATTGATATGTTTTAGATTTAAATGTATTTATTATTATACCAATGTACTTTATAAAATTATACTAAAGTAAGTGTGTGTTTGTTATCTATTTTTATTAGGTAACATGATGAGCAATCGTAAGCGTTTGATAAGTGCCTCAGGTGCGCTGAGTGTACTGGGAACCGCTACGAGCGTTTTAGGAACAGGTTCGAGCGGCTTGAGCTCAGGTTCCAGCGGCTTGGGCACGGGTTCGAGCGGAATGAGCACAATATCAAGCGGTTTGGGTACGCCCACGACTACATCTACAACTAACAACGCATCGTTAGCGTTGCTTTGGGGAGCCACTGGTGAACAAGAGTGGACACCAGCACTTACTACAGGTTAGTGTATAAAAAGAATTTGATTTCACACATGTCCCTCATTATTGCATTTCGAATGGTGTCGTTCAATTCAAAAATTAATTTAATTTGTGTTTTCAAATTTATGTTAGTACCTTAATATTTGTAATTTTTGTCAATTTTGGTATAAGTATCCCGACTTATAAAATTCAAGTTAATTGTTTTTTTTATTATTTACAATAATATGAAATTTTTAATTTGTGTTGATTTAGATGCATATTATATGCATTGTTTAAACATAAATAATATTTTTTTTTCATTTCTATACTTTTACTCCCTTATTTGGTTTCTTATTTTTTCTTTTCGATGGTATGCTGTTTACCTGTAAAAGATTTTTTAAAAAGGAGATTTTCAAGTGATTTCTATTTCTAGAAATAATAGTAAAATGCAGTCTTAAAATTTTTTGAATATGTTCTTCAATAACTAACAGCATCAATAAATCTGTAACTACCTATGTGATACTGTTAACCGTCAATACATCTGTACATATTATCCATTATGACTAGGGGTCACAAGCTAATATACAGTCGACTCTCGATAATTTGACACTCGTTAATTTGAATCTCTTGATAATTTGAATATTTTACCGGTCCCTTGAAAAATACTCTAATAAATTGTATGAAGTCAATATTAAGGAGACACCGGGAAAAAATGCACCTCCTTTCATCGAATAGTATCGGACTATGACACTACTAACGAAAGTGGAATTTTGAAATAGGTAAATTCATGTCTTTATCTTGAATTTGCTTATTCAAAAAACACGATTGTATAATTTTGACTCGATTATAATTATTTGCAAAAACACCTCTAAAAATCACTATAGTTGAAATTACAACGAAATTACTTAATCTATATGCTTGTGTATCACTCAAATATATTCATAACATCAATATTCATAATTTACTTGCTCATTATGTTGATTACTTAAATCAATAATTTAAAAAAAATATTTTAAGATTCTGACAATATCTAAGCGCTTTTAACAGTCGCGGGCGCTATGCAATTTTAGACCTTATGACGGCGTTTTTTTCAAGTAATTATAGAAATTATGTACTGACTCGGATCAGTACGGCGATAGCCTGGAGCCATTTTTTCGATGTGTCGTCTTAATTGCTCCTCTCGGTAATTTAAAGTTGAGGGAATAGTATCTTGCCCGCCAACATGCAATAATTTGAAGTCCGGTCTTCTCATCTCTATATAATTTGAAGTGCTTATCGTGCACGGAACTATCGTTTGTTTATATACATGTACAGAGCGGTCGATTGTTTACATAAATGAGATATGAGTGAGTTTGGCGAACTGTTCAATATGGCCCCTCTGGATGAGGACAAGGAAGAAAATGAAAAAGAAAAACTACCACCGATTCCAGTCACATTGAGCTAGGTAAGGAGATCTCTTACTACTTTACGCTTCTACGTCCTCAGAACCGACACAAGTGACGATTTCTTTGCAGCTCTCATCACTATCAAAAATTCATTAAATTCAAGCTGAAGTCGCTCACTGAACAGAAAATTACGGATTTCTTTTCAAAATGAACATTTGTGAATAATTGTACAAATGTTTACAATAATAAATCACGAATTTTGACCAAACTCTACTTGATTTTTTTCTCCCTCCTGCTTGGTTATTTAAACTTCTGTAATTTTGAACTCATGGTAATTTGAAATTTTTCTCTGGTACCTTGAGTGTCAAATTATCGAGAGTGGACTGACATATCTAGTTTATAAAATTATATATAGTACAAGACAATAACAATTCTATTTTTTTTGTCACCAAACTGATACCTGGTTTTGATTCATATAGATTTTTGATTTAGCTTGAGTTTGTGACTCCTGATATGATTAAAGAAGTAACTGACAGATTTATGACATTTTACATGCCTTCTAATCATTTAGTCTAATTAAAAATGTTATTAAAGTTTCACCTCATTTTTAATGTTTCATGATTTCGCCGCATTATATCTACATTCCTGTTGGAACGATTGCGGCGTTAAGCGAACCGAGCTATAGGTTTGATATCATATTGAATGGATTTGCATATGTAGCTGTTATTGCAAGCCCTCTATATATTTATTATATCATTTGCGGGGTTAACCATAACAGTATCCGCTTCGTATATTAAGTAGCAAATCCAATATGTATGTAACAACTTTTAAAAATGAATATAAAAATTCTTAAATATTTTCTTGTTTGCACATGCTTTAGTAACCATGTGCCAGGATCGCGTTTTTTAATGTTTAAATGCTTTGTAGTTACTAATACATTTGATATTAGAGTTTCAATAGCACAAGTTTATCACTATGTAACTGTAAGAATATACTTTATCATGTAAATACCCATTTTGCATGCTTTACTAACAACAGCTTTCATGGGATCAAAACAGGATATGCTTTGCGCGATGTTTCTCCAATCAGAAATTTACATATGTAGTAAGCACTTGGTAGTAAGATCTACTTTATTACATTTTTTTTTATTAAGCCTATCAACATATTAGCTGTCTGTTAAGTTGCAGTGTAAAATAAATAAGACCTTATTCCCAAACAATGTAAATTTATTTTCTTAATATATTTTTACACAAAAAGGTTAAGATATAATTTTATGTACATTAATTGATTATAATAAAGGTCATTGTAAATAGACTTTTCTTCAGATAGTAAATAGAAAAGTAATCAAACTTTACTAACGTTATTTTTATGGTCTTTAAATCTATTGATTTAATTGTTTTTACATATCTCTTTTTAATTTGTATGAATTATAAATGTTAGTGGATATAAAAATTATAAATTTATTTCATAATTTTTTGTCATTCCATTACTTGTTAAACTCCTGTTTAAAAAAACAATATCTATTCAGTTAAACTAATTGAAATGACGTCATTAATACGACTTTACGTCGATTATTTTAAAATGTGAAATGAAAACTAAACAAATACATGCAAAATATACCTATCGATTTTTGTAAATTACTATAGTATCAATAATTTAATATTGATTGTATAATTATTACAATTATAAAATATAAAAGCATGAATTCGCATTATCTTATTTATTTTGTTGCTATACTCATGGATATATTTAGAGGAACGCAACATTTTTTTACCTTATAATAAATTACAGAATTGGAAACATGCAATGTTTCTCGGTGTAATGGCCACTTGCTTCTTAGTTTAACCACTGAATTACTTTTACATTTGTAGAGGCTTGAGTTGTCCACATGTTCGCATATCTTATCAGATCGGCCATTGTATCTAGTGTGAGACTTCCCTACATTTATATTTCAAACAATCGACGGTGAAGAAATTTTCTTAAATAGGAGCTCCGGGAAGAGTAGTGCCACAAACAATTTATAAAGTTATGTAAAATTTGTTCAAAATAATTGACATCCGCAAAGTTTATTATTAGTTACATATTCATGATTAATCAACCCTGAAACAAAATTTATATAGTTTCAAATTCTTTTTCATATTGGCTAGGACAATGAGAGCGTAATAAATATAATTAAACCCGTTTTAGCATAAACATAAACATAAACACTCACGCCTGTCACCCAAAGGGGTAGGCAGAGACCACGGACTTCCATTTGACACGATCCTGACATACCTCTTTCGCCTCCTTTACATCCATATATCTACGCATACATGCTCGTCGGTTAAGGGTACTTTTAACGTGGCCCATTTTCAAAATATCGCCAATTTGGTCGATAAACTTTTTTCTAGGGCGTCCCTTCCCGACTCTGCCGTTCACATCTGCCATATAAATTTGCTTTGTCACTCTTTCCTCAATCATTCTTTCTACATGATCAAACCACCGAAGCATTCCTTTCTTAATCCTGGTCACAACATCATCTTGCATACCACATTTATCTCTTATCACGCAATTTCTCACCCTGTCATTCAGATTCAACCCTAGCATAGTCCTTAAAGACCGCATTTCTACAGCATTTATTCTACTTTCGTGCTTCTTCTGCCACACCCAACTTTCACTACCATACATTAAAGTAGGGACTAACACAGCATTATGTATTACCATATGTGCCTTTTTTGATACATTCTGGTTCTTCACAATAGAGTGTAGTGCCCCATTCACTCTATTCCCTGCATTTACTCGTCATTCTATATCCTTATCATATCTACCATCCCTGCTAAATACACATCCCAAATACACAAACTCATCCACTTGCTCAATTAACTCTCCTTCTATTCTTATTTCACATACCGTTTTGCTTTCCTCTCTTTCAAAAACCATCACTTTCGTCTTACTTGCGTTCACTTTCATTCCCCTTTCTTTTAATGCCCAGTTCATTAATGCAACAATCATTTGCAACTCAGCCGCCGACGACGCAAATATGACTTGATCTCGGCATACAAAAGGCATTTGACGGTTAACTCGCCCATTCTTAACCCACATTCTTCATCTTTCAAAGTTTGCAAGCACCTGTCCATAAATAGGTTGAACAGCCAAGGGGAAGCCACACAGCCCTGTCTGACACCCTTTCGGATGCCAAACCAGTCCGAGTAGACCCCATTGATCCTGACACAAGCACTAGAATTCCTATAAAGAGACCTCAATGCCCCTGTATCAAACCAGCGCTCAACCCATATGAGTTCAGTGTTTGCCATAACACATTCCTGTCCACTTTTCCAACTCCATGAACGCACAAAAAACTTTCTGGTTTTTGGCCAAAAACTTCTCCGCAATCATGCGCATGGAAAAGACTTGATCTGTACACCCCATTCCCTTTCTAAAACCCGCTTGCACATCCCAAATTTTTCCATCAGTTTCTTTCATAACTCTTTCAATTTACACCTTAGCATACAGTTTACCCACAATACTAAGCAAGCTGATACCACGGTAGTTTTTGAAGTCCTGCTGTGACCCTTTTCCTTTATATATTGGTACTATAACTGCTTTACACCAGTCATCCGGTACCCGTTTTAATTCCCAACATAAAATAAACAAGATGTACAGCAGGCCTGCCACCACTCCCTCTCCAGCCCTTAGCAACTCTATCATATCCAGCTGCCTTACCTGCTTTCATGCTTTTCATTGCTTTCATTATTTCATCTACACTTATCTCCATACCCCTTTCCACTTCTTTCGGAATTTCTTGTTCATTAAATTTAGACGACTTTTCACTCATAAACACGCTTTCAAAGTATTCCTTCCATCTGTTTAAATTCGAAACTTCATCATTCAGAATACATCCATTCTCGTCTCTTTAGCATTAATTATAGGCTGTTTTGTATTACCCGTTTTAGCTTTCCTCTAAATTGTCCATTAGCTTCTATAACCCATTATATAAATAATAATATTTTATTTTAATTTTATAATGAATATGAATATTCATAGGGAGTAACACAAAATTATTTTTGAATGCAAACAGGCGTGGACTGGAAGTCCCTAACGATCCCGGCGTGCCTTCCTATCACCACTGACTACTTCCCCGACAAGCGGTCGTTGCAGAACGACTACCTCGTGTCCGACTACAACCTGCTGCCTGACGACGTCAATGCTGACTTTGCTCAAAATCGAGCTATTTATAAGAAACCACTCACCACCATGGAGGTCTTTAAGGAGTTGGTTTCCACGAGATTGGCACAAGTTAGTAATATTTTTATTTATTAATTTTGATCATCACGTTTTTATTTCCCAGTAGCATGTAGCAGAAAAGTGAACCTGTTGTTTATATTGTTGATTTTAAAAAGAGATATAGAATGGAAATTAATAAAATTAAACTTATAGATACTATATTATTTTCTATTTTTCTTTTTCATCAACTAATAAATAGCTTGCTGATCCTATGACTCATTGTAGGGAAGAGTTTTAATATACGCCACCCTTGGAAGACATCTTAATGATCGCTATGCCAAACGTCTTGCGGCTTCGACAACCTGTCACCGTTCTGAATAATTTACGTTTGGAGTAAATGTGATATTTGTACCGACATTAAAGTATTAGAACTTATGTTGAGTAGTTATCAGGCAGATGCTGATACCTATCTCCCGATTCATTTCCCTCTCTCGAATCTTCCTACATCCACAGGTTGATATGGAGTGTGGATATTCTTACGCCGCCATTACGCGGTTAGAAATTTTTAGACATATTTGTAAAAATTCAATACGTGGGTGACAAAATGTTTACCGTATCTAATATTATTGAAACTTTTTTTCGTTGTAGTGGATAGATTGAAGGCGGTATTAAACATCAAAAACGTCACGTTTTCTTGTGATGTTTAACCGCTGCATGAGTATACTGTTATTTAATCTACTTATGTAAAATATAAAATAAAAGAAGAATGGTGTGTCGTAAAGAAGTTTCACTTCTTAGGTGTGTACAGAGTTACACGCAAAATTTATTTATTTATTATTATAAATTACAATTCACCTTATCATCCCATTTCGTCTAGTAAGTAACGTAAGAGGCGATTATGTGAAACGCCAGAAATATCTTATACTTTTCGATAGATGGCGTTATAACCATCTCGTTTACGTCATAAAATATCTAGAACCGTGACGGGCAGCAGCGTCGAAGGTTGGAGACATGGCACTGCGATCGTCAATCTGTCTGTCAAGCGTGAAGATTAGGACGAATCTCGCCAAATCACGGGTGAGGCTCATGTCCAGCTTTGACTTATGAGGACCGATAAAGAAAGAGAAGAAATATATATTTACTTACGACTATAATTTTTTATGTAGGATAGGGTAACAAACGAGTACACAGTCCACCTGATGGTAAGTGGTTGCTGTGGTCCATAGACATCTAAGGGGTTTTCCAATAGGGACTTGACAATTTTGAATTTAGTTTGTGAACGCACCTTTTCACTTAACATCGAACAGTCACTGTCAGTTTATTCAGTAGACGTAACTTTTTCATCATGGTGAAGTACACGAACGAACAACGTCTGCAAATCTTAAAAATTTACTACAGAAATTTGGAGTCGGTGACCGCTACTTTAAGAGCGTTAACTCCGATTTTCGGTTGTAATACTCGCCCTAGTAGACAGGCAGTAATAAGTTTAGTGAAAAAGTTTGAGTGTACATATTCGTTGTGTGATGTTGCCGTGCCAGTGAGACTAAGAGTTGGTCGAAGTGTCGAAAATATCCCTGCCGTTGTAACGTCCGTAGCAAGTGATCCAAATCCGTCAATTCCACGGCGTTTTCAAGAGTTGGGCATCGCCAAGACCACTTTATGGCGAATTTTGCTTAAGGATCTTACTATACACCCATACAAGATCAGGCTCACTCAAGAATTGAAGCCGATGGATCATTCGAAGCGACGTACGTTCTCCGATTGGGCTCTGGAAAAGATGCGCCAAGATGATCAATTTCATCGCAAAATCATCTTCAGTGACGAAGCTCATTTCTGGCTCATGGATTTGTCAATAAAAAAATATGCGGTATTGGGCGGGTGAATATCCACATGTGCTTAATGAAAAACCACTTCATCCACAAAAGATAACTGTTTGGTGCGGTTTGCATGCCGGCGGCATCATATGGCCATATTTTTTCGTCGACGATAGTGGTCGCCACGTTACTGTGAATGGTGATCGTTATCGCGCCATGATAATCGATTATTTTGGCCCGAATTGGAATATATGGACTTGGACAGTATGTGGTTTCAACAGGACGGCGCCAGAAGCCACACAGCACACGTTACAATCGATATATTGAAGAACAAGTTTGATGAGCGTGTTATCTCAAGAAATGGACTAGTCGATTGGCCGCCTCGTTCGTGCGATTTAACGTCTCTAGAACGTTTTTGTAACTCAAATGGTTTTCATTTTATTTTGAAAAAAAACAAGTCCTTATTGGAAAACCCGTTACATCTATCCTCGATTACGAATCAAAATGCAGATGCGTTGTCACCCCTGAGGACTAAGATGGAATGTCTCGTTTCCAGTAAAAAAGGCCCACCACGCCAGCATTAAGCTATTGTTTCACGCTGGTATTCTGTGAGAGCGTGGTCCTTCCTCGGTCGTGCCGACCCATCGTGCTGCAACTATACCACGTATATATAATATCCCGGTTCATTCATTATAATAGGCAAAATAAGCCTATAAACAAAAAAGTAGACTAGTGCTATAATATGGTTTTGCCACATTCACAAACCTATTGTTTTTATGTTAGGGCTTTCAGCTGATAGTAGGTCTAAATGAGAACGAAGTTTTAGAAGCTCACTGTCCTACGACACCAGCGCCACCGCCTTCTAAAGTGGCTCCTCAGTGCGGAAAGCTGGCCAACTCGGCGCCAACAAAACGTTACCTGCTCTCCATCGGCAGGATATTCCACAAGCTCACTCTTGTCGGATCCACTATTACCGTAACGAGATACCGGCCCAGGTAACGCATCTCAGTGTTGTTGTATTGCATTTATATTCAGAAAAGTTTTATTTGCCGTTTAGATTCGTTTTTTCATGTACGAGAGAACGTTTAACTACTGATGTGATACGGTTTAAAGAATGAGGGAGCCAGTATAATTACAGACTGGAAGATATCACATCTTAGTTCACAGGGCTCAAGGGGACGAGACATGTATGGTTTTCTACGTCTGAAGTTGATTTCAAGTGCACTGTTAGCTCGTTCGTCATACGATTATTATAATAATAAATAATATTTTATTAAAACTGTTATTAATATTAAATTAAATTAACTAAAAGTGCGGAATCTAATGAAGACTTTATTTTTATTAAACGTGTATTTATTTTTCTACGATAGAAATCTCGCATAGAAAACCGATACATATATACACAATAAACCGGGGAATTGTCGGTGTCCGTGTGGCCACTAACATGTCAATTCACACCTATAAATGTTAACACATCTCTTGACGTCACAGTCGTTGTCCAATTTTTGTGTCAAGCGTTGCTGGGTGTAATTTATTTCAAAAACGCCAATTTTTACTGTAATTACGTGTCGGAAAAACATCCGGATGTGAAATTTGAATAAAAGTGTTGGATTATTTTACCAGTAAGTCGAAACTGTTTATATTTTGTGAATATTACAATCAAAAATAAAGAAATATTGATGTGTAAAAACAACAGTACTAGGGATGTAACAAACTTTTACTGATACCGGTAAACAGGGAAATTTTATTGCTTTTAAAATTGAATTTGGTTTAATGACAAGCTAAATAGATGCAATCGAATACTGTAGAAAATGGTAATTTAATGACCTACGAATGAATTGTAATAATATATATAAAAATATTTTTTATTAAATTGTAATTTTGTTCCCTTTATAAGTGTCATTGAAAATTTTCAATGAAGTTTTTAAATTCAATCTTCTGGTTATATACCATTACCGCATACTGTTTGTTCACTTCATGCTCAATCACCCAAAAAGGGTTGGATAGACCCATTTTGTTTGAAAAGTAAAAAAAAAACACATTTCATAATATGTATTTTCATACTTTTTCTTCCGATTTTGCTCTTGCCTGGTGTTGGCTTACCAATAATGCACTATTTACTACTATTGGTACTTTTTTTTAGATAAGTAAGATATATTTTTATTTACATAATCCATTTTTGTAGTTTTCCTGGAGATTTGAACATAAAAATGTACAGAAGCCACGGAAGGCTTAACTAATAATTTTAATTAGACTAACTTCTTATCCATACATCGCAATAAAATATTTGAAGGACAATGCTATTCCACATAAATAAACTGTATAATGTAATGTATATTAGCACCGGTAAGTGTGATCCTATGAAAAGGATTAATTCAACATCTAAGAATGTGATGGCTTGAAAAAACGAAGCCACAGATGACAGCACTGAAGAAGAAGAAGATATAACCTCGAAACGTGGTAATCACTCATAAGCTGTAATAATTGTTTGCTGAGATTATATTTAACCAAATGGAATATCACTAGACAAGACTACATCCCCGGCTGTGGTACCATTATATACTACAGTTTGTTTAAACGCACAGACTAATATGATGCCTATACATCTTAAACGTGTTCAAAAACTTTTTATTTACAATAAGAAAAAATTATACTTATTGCAATTGTATTTGCAATTAGTTTGCACACCATTTACAAATAAATATGTATTAAAATTTAAACGATTTCTTTTTTAACAATGATTGTGAACATTGATCAACAGACTAAAACGTGCATATTTGCTCATACCGTTTACACAGTTATTCCTTCTCTTTATTTTCAAAAAGAGACTGTCTGTAAAGATTCGTTGTGACTTCGTTGTTGAATCTGATTTTATGTAATATTAAAATGCGTTTGTAACATGTATTTATTGAAATTTGTTTGACTAATGAGCGAATTAGGTTTCTATGAGTGATAATGGGACGTAACAGATTGTATGTGTGCTCCCGGCGACACCGGTTCTCTTACAAAATAAGGTTGATAGCCATTCTATTGTGTATTATAGTATTCTATGATTAGAACTAGGGAGGGAACACTGGAACGGTTGAACACGCTTAGACAAGTGGATTAGCAGTTGCATTACTAGATGTTTCGCATCCGCACGCTTTATTCTACTTCTGTCAGTCTGTCTGGTCCGGTCCGAGTATTTTACATCGGATATCGAGATTGTTATATTGTCATCTAGTAGGCTTAGCCGAATGTTTGATTAATTACAATACTACTTGCTCTCGATTCGTGTTCGGTATTTTATTTATTTTAATTTCACCCACCCTTTCTTCACTCCTAATTTACAAAATTAAATCGAAATAGCATAACGCTCTGTTAGGATGGCCGCTCTGAAGGTGTTTTTAAAAAAAAACTTTTACACCCAATCCCAGAAGTTCTTTTGGTTTATTTCCCCAATATTAAATTAATACAAGAAATGTACAAAAGCCGCGAACGGCGTGTGCGATATGCACTTAATATGGGTTGGAACTGCACTGCCTCGATTACCTCAAACTCTAGGCTTTTATAATAAATATAATAATCGAGTCAGCGCTTTTATCTAACTAGGGTTGGACATAACATCTCCCCCCTTTTTGACGGAGCTCATCCTTCTTTTAAATAAGGGATGAGCAGAGTCTCACAAACGATACAGTGGAAATTAAAAAATAATTTGAATACAAAAATAATTGTAAAATAGAATTGTTTCAATTATTTGTTATTATTATAAAATCAAATTGAATTGATACAAAAGCATAGTAAAATTAAACTATTCTTAGACAATATCTACACAAAATTATAAGAAATTATTTATTGAGATTATGAACTAGTAATATAGTATTTTTTATAAGATTCAGTGAATAATGAAATAATAGAAGATTCAGTGTATTAATGCTAAGATTTATTTTTTATTTCAAATACAAACATTTAGTAATATTAATATCTAAGACACAGTGTATAAAACAAAATATAAACTTATATTCTAATGTAACATAAAGCTTTATGAAATAAGTATAGTAAAGTAATATAGTTTTTAATTATTACATAGGTTTCGATTTGATAAGTGAAATTTACCGAATGTTCTTTTCATTTGGTTTTGCTCTGGCATATTGGGTGAGGATATAGAATCTTTTCTATCATCGTCTGATGATGAAACTTCAGTTAACTCAATAGAATTACTAACTTTCAATTCGTGTTTAACAATCCGTCGTGTATTTCACTGATTAAATATTTGTATGCAGCGGCAAGAATCATTATTTCTCTTAATAGAGCAACAAAATATTTTATAGGAAATAAATAAAATTATGCAAATAATCAAAAAGTATGTAAATGATGAATAGTATTTACCATATTTTATTATGTGAGATTGTTCTTGAACTCTATTGATCTCATTTTCTAAGTTATTTAAGGAATGGTAAGAATATTTCAGAGTTTCCATGTCTAGGCTAGTTAAAGATATAGGAGATAAGTATGGAATTGATTTGTTTAAAATTTCTTTATTACAACAATCGTCTTCTGTAATATTAAAGTTTAAATTCATTTTATTTTTGATTTTAATAGATTTAGTTGTAGATGGCATTAATTGAATTGTCTTAGAGAAACCAATACAGCTTTCGTTTAAACTTAGGATACCTGTCCCTAAAATAGTGAAATCTTGTATTATATTGTTACATTTTATAGTTAATTTACATTTCTCAGATTGTACATAGATAAACTTATTATTATTTATTGTATACCACACATCGATTTGTCCATATAAAAGTTTAGAGTTACATTGATGTGGTAAAGATAACGTTACTTCGGTTAACAATTTTGTTTCACAACATGGATTCTTTATTAAAGAAAATATAGAAATTAAAGGACATATAGAATAATCATTATTAATAATATTACAATAGTTTAAATTATCTAGCAAACTATAACTAAGTCTATCTTCTGTTATTCCAAGATAAGGCTTGGTAGGTTGGATTAGAGCAAAAGAGTTAGGATCATTAGGATTATGAGGGGTTGGTAAAGGTATGCATTTGTATAAGGTGAACTTTAAAGAAGAAATCAGTGGTATGCGTAATATGAAAATTATTCTTCTATTATAATAAAAAGATGTGAGTTTTGAAATATCTATCAAAGTATGTATATTTTCAATCGTTAATGGTACTGGAAAATCTAATCGCTTGTTTATATAATTACTCTGTTTTAAAAGTTGGCGAAATAAGTTCGTAGGAGCTATTACACTAGGATGTAGAATGTTTGCTTTAGAAAATAAGATAGAGTTTAGCACATTATCCAAGAAATTAGAAATAGTGGCTAAAGAGCTTTCTATTATATTAAGTAAAGCATATATTTTAGAAATATGTGATAATTGATTATTATGTCTGACAATTTGGGATAATACAATATTTAAAGAATTTATTTGAGAATTTAATTTATTTTCATTCATATTTAATTTATATATCGTTGAGTTAAATACATTAATAGAAGATTTAATTATGTGAATATTATCCTTCATTAATTTTAAAAGTTCGGATTCGCTATTTTGACAAGCGCTAATGGCTGCATCGTATTTTCGTGCATCATCAGCATCTAAAGTTCCAAAAAAGAATTTCAAAATTTCTCCACCGAATTCTAAAGCTCGTTTATGCCTTGTTTGTTCCTCGGTAGGGACTATATGCGAAAGAGATTCGAATTTAGCAAAATTAGAATTTAACAATACTTCAATAGGACTTATGATATCATTACATTCAGCGAAACCATGGAGTTGGAAGTTTTCGCAGAGCGTTGCAGTTTTAATTATAAGCGAATGTATATTTTCTAGATGTGGCTTAACTGATACTACGTCTATATGAGTTACAACATTCCAAAAATCATTATAAAAATTAATTGTAGTTATTTGATCGAAATAAATACCTGGACTATTATAAATAGGTAGAATTTGAGTTTCAGCGTTGAATTGGTGGCTTATGGCCCTGAAATAAAG